CACAAAAAAAAAAAAAAAAAAAAAAAAAAATAAGGGACGATGGACATCATTGGGGAGCAGGGGAGCAGCTAGAGCGGAAGCAGGTAACAAGGATAGATGGATGCATTCTGATCAGGGACGTATCCAGGAGGGGGAGGAGGGAGCCGTGGGAGCTGTGGGAGCTTCAGCTATATTATGATAATAATATTTATAATATTAAAAAGTGAAGAAAATTGTGCTAAAGGCGAAAAGAAAAATGTGAGTTGTTGATCACTATAGTTCAAGCTTAGTAAGCCATAGTTAGGCCTAAGTGGTGATTTGATGATGATGATGAATTTTACTATATAAAAGTGTCATTTCTGGCCATCTAAGGTATTATTTCCTTAAATTTTTTCGCCTCAGCCCAAACCATGATGGGCTGATGTGGTTGTGAAATCACAGTTTTGAAGTATATAAAGTACATACAGAAGTCAAAGACAGTGTTTTAAGCTTTGTTTCTATGATACATTACACATATTAATAAGATGGTTGCCAACAATCCCTGATAAAAGATTATGAGATTTTTTTTTTTTTTTTTGGCGCTTCATTTTGAATGGTGATGTGATGATGAATTTTACTGAAATTGTCTTTTCTGGCCATTTAGAAGTACTATTTTCTCAATGTTCGCACCTCAGTCCCAACCATGGTGGGTTTGGGGTGGGTATCGACTTACAAATTGTCCTCCCCCTCCACCTTTCAAAACAGATCTGCGCCCTACCCTGGGTATGACATTAAACTTCATCGAGTCGGCACCTGACTCAGAGTATGGCTTAGTGACTGGTGAGGCGATGGTGCATAAATTTGTTTTTAGGATGTGATCTGGGATTTTATGCATATTTTTCGTGATTATGTTTTTTTTTTTTGTGATAAAGAATGTTTTGAGCAGTGGCGGATTCAAGGATCCTACTCCCCCTAAATTTTTTAATGGAAAAAAAAGAGAAAAATACATACAAATTTAAGTCTGAGAGTGTAAATTCGGCCATTTGGAGGTACCATCATAAATGTTCATGGTGGGGCTAAGGTGGGTGGTTGTACACCCTTTATTATTATGTTAATGTGACAAGATGATCTGTCAAAGCTATTTTATTATGTCTTTACTTACATGTTGAAGAGGGTTGTAGGAACAACCGAAATATCCGTGAACTTAATAAATATATTTGTGTTCTTCCAAGTCTGCCATTGATGTCTGTATTCTCATTTACCACCGTCTCCATATTTTTTTTATATCTACCTTGAACACACATGCTTACCTGTGTTATAATATACTGTATATATATACATATATATAAATCAAGATTGCCGTTAACACTGTTAATTTACCTTTCTTTGATTATGATTTATATATATATATATATATACATATATATATATATATATAAATCAAGATAGCC